TTTTCAATGCCTGAGAATCCCAGTTTATGTATATCTCTGTAAACACTCAGATTTCCAGTTCTCAATATAGTAAGGGTGATGCTTATTGTAGAAGAAGATACCATCTAATGGTTAACAGTGGTTCATTTCACCATGTGAACTGTCTGATTTTTCTAAGAAAAGAGTTTGAAACGTTTTGATTCACCACAACTTGTATTGTCAGTACCGAAGATTGCAGTTTGATTTCAAGAAACTGACTTCAAAACACAGATATTAAAGTTAGTTTGTTTGAACTTACCATGGTTAAAATTATCCACAGTTCATGGCTAGGCAAAATCTTCCAAAGTCTTCTTCATGACCACAGAAAAGGAGGAGAAAAGACGGCAATTTCATGGTTCTGTGCTGCTCATTTCTCCACAGTAACATCACTTTAGATAGCCAATGTCTTTTCTATACCTGTATCAATGCAATAATGCCTTATTTTTTACTTAGACTCTGGACTGGGTGGATCTACAAAAAAGGAGAAATGTCTACTTCTATGGATTTATCTAGTTTTGTTATCCAGTTATCATCCTCATCCCAAAAACTGTTATGTTGAGGCCAAGAGCCAATGGTCAGTTTTGGTACCTTCTGCCAGCACAACAGGGGTGTTCTTCCTCTTGTCTTCCCCTCTGTGGCCCTCCCTGGTTTCGAAAGCCAACTTCAAAGGGCCTCTCATCTCCCCAGAATAGGTGTTTATGGAAAGGAGGCAGCAATAGGGAAGGGAGATTGCTGTTTCCAATGGAGGAACTTAGAAAAAGGTCAGAGATTTTAATAAAATATAAGCATAGCCAGATGTTTTAAATCAACTACATGTATGGTAATAATATCATTTTATATAAGGCTGATGCACTAAATTCTTCACAGTCAGATGTTTTAAATCGACTACATGTATGATAATAATATCTTATATAAGGCTGATGCACTAAATTCTTCATTCTTGTGATTAAGCAGTCCCAAAGTGACAAGAGCCTGGAAGATGGTTCATTTCCAAGCAACTGTAAGACAAGAAGTGCTATTGCTTCCTCCCAGGGGCTCAAGTGCAACCTGTAACAGGTGCTGGAAATGAATATTTGGCCATGTCAAAATTGTCCACTCCTGTTTTTAAAGAAATGGTGACTGATAAAGATTTTGGTGGTGAGGGAGATGCAATGATAGAGAATGCCCACCCCTCAGACCTTTGATATTATTGCTGCTGCCATGGCTGTTATAGCTCATGCTTCTCTAAAGTTCCATGAACATATAGGAGAGAATACACTGCTCAAAACGTAGTTGTCTGGAAGGCAGAGCCAACTAGCATTAGATATGTGGTTGCTAAGATGGAAAGCATCTTCCCAATTTCGTAATGCTCCTCGCTATTCCAAATGGCAAATGAAGGCTCTAGGGGTCATAGCACAATGATGTACCTACTCTTGTAGTTCTTAGACATTGTTGCTGACAATGTATGAAATGAATAAAAAGTAGTGCTGAAGAAATGGTGGATGTATATGCAGTGGTACTGCAGGAGCCATTATTTCAGCTATACCACCACATCACTGGTTTGGCTTTGCAATATTCAGTCATGCAGCATCCTTTGCTGCTACCTTGATGAGCTGTCTCCAGAATTTATGTTCTGCCTGTAGTCAGCCATCTGTCACATCTGTAATCAAACCAAGTTTTCAACTATTCTTTTGCAGTAAAAATATCAGGAAAGTGAGACATCTCACTATCCATGGGAACCTTTAAAATTAATTGTTTCTGCCATCACTGACATATATTTCTTGGAACCACACAGACCTTTAGTTGATCAGTTGCATGTAACAGTTTACTGCATGAAAGGTGTAAAGTAAGGTTTTGTGAATTCTTAAAGCATTTTGAAAACAATGTGTCTATTAGAGAATAAGGGAAAATCTAGGAAGAATCTCTCTGTGTGTCTGTGTGTTCTAGAGTCAGAGTACAACATATAAAAAATGCTTTAATTGTAGTTTTTTCTAAGGTAGTATTATAACTTATGCATAAGATCTGTTTACCTTGATACCTTTTTACCTTAGATTTTCCCCAAGCATGCACTATTTGAAGCTTTCTCATAGCTTACAATACTATGTTTTTGGTGGTGGTGGTGACTTTGGTGTTTTCCCTGATCTTATAAACTATTTTGGGATATGTACAGTTGAGAAGCCATATAAAAATAATAGTGATCATCATACGGGGGAAAAGAAGAGTTACTTGAAACAAGTGTTTGTTTAACGGGCCGTAAACTTTTAAGAGATTACACATAAAACATTTGTGCTTCAGAGTCCATGCGCAATTGACAGGAAATGGGAAAAGGGCAAAAATGCTTGATCAATGCAAAATTGATAACAGGCCTTGCAATAAATAGGTTTGGAGCCTGGAATAAGGCTGGAGATGTTTTAAAATCATGTCAGATTTTTGAGCCTTGATGCATCACAAGCAGAGCATTGTTCCATTGTTGTAAGATTGTGCCAAAAGTGTAAGTGTCTTGTGGGGGGAGGCTTAATATTGTGATTCTAATCCAGTGGAAATTTCAACAAGCACAAAATAGACATACGGTGTTTAGGTCTTCAGCTATCTGTGGGCAGCAAGGACAATTATGTTTTCAGATCTTTGCAGAAAATGAACCAAGACATGTCTCTAGATCCTCATCCTGACAAAGCAGGTTCATGCATGAACTGCTGATTAGCTCAGTGGTTTAGGTATCTGGCTGCAGAAGGTGGGAGTTCAATTCTCCATGATGCCTCCTTGACAAGAGCTGTTCCACAGGGTCCCTTTCAGCTCTGCAGTTCTAAGGACGATGAAGATTCACTCGGGCTATTAGCACTATTATATTTCTAGTGATAAAGAACTGTAGGATAGAGTGGTCTGTGTGTCACTGACTTTCTGCTCTTTGATGTAGAACTGATATGAGTGCATGAAATTCTTTCTCTGTCCTGCCATAGACTTGTTAAAGATATTCACGTCTCCCCATGACTGCTATGAGACAATTGATGTATTTTATGTGTGTTTTAATACAATCCAGTATGGTTCTTTATCACCATATGCTGTACACTGTCTTTGCAGAGACTATGTACACGCTTTGCACACATTGAATGTATGAACTAAAGAGTGTTCAGACCCTATATTGAGAATTGCATTAATTCTTGGTAGGAAAATAGCAGTCAGAAAGAACAGAATGTCTCCCTCCATTTTGTTCAAGCTTATGAATGAGCACAAAGAGGTTCTGTGCATCATTTGACCCATGTCTTACACCAGTACCTTCCTGGGATGGGGGATTATTGCAGGGTCAAGAGAGGAAGCACCATCTGTAGCCTTACCATACTCAAGAAGCTTTCTGGGCATTAAAAGATTTGAGAGGAAAGATTTTCCAATACTTTTAGTGGGATTGGAAGTAGAACTTAATTAATGTTCTTCATTGCCCGTTACAGCTTGTCTCCTGGTACAGTAAGAGAGAGAGCAGGAGGCCCCCTGGGATTGTTGAACTGAGCAAGAGATTCCAAGGCCTCCCCAGGACTAAAGTGTACGGCCATGTAGGAAAGCAGGGTGGGGACCACCTCGTAGGTGTGGACAGATACTGGGGTCTTAACTACTTTTAGCTCAGCTGTGCTTCTAGGCAGAAGGCGTATTCACACTGAAAAAGGCTGAGGCTTGATCATGTTCCCTGAGGAACATTTGCAGCTGAATAATCAGATGCGTTGAGCAAAGGGGATTAGGTAAAGAGATGGCATTACCCACCAGGAAGAATCTACTCATTCCACATGACCATTTAGTGAAAACAGTGATTATAAGTAGTCAGAAAATTTTAAATCCAAATATTGGTGGTGTTTCTTGTGAACAGTGCTTGATTTTACAGACTTAATTTAAGTCCTATTGATTTTAGTGGATCTACTCTAAATATGACTAAAGCTGAAGCCAGCCTTGTTCTACCATTAACTTGTAACAAGTGGGTTACCTTCAGTAAGTTATAAAGTGCCAAAGATGGAGATTCATCCTGGCGCCTAGAAAAGTATACTGATTGGCACGCTGTCTTGTACTATTCAGAAAATGAGTGTTGATATGAAAATAACTGTGGGGGGGAACATATGTAATATTGCACGGAATGAAATTTTTTAATATAGACTCTTCTAAATGTTAAAGAAGAAGCATTTGTCTTGCTTTGATGCTCATCTATTTACATGCATCTATTTGACAGTAATAGGAAGCCAAATATGACGTATTGGGCAAAGGCATGTAATAGTCTTATAAGGATTACAGTAGCATCAACCCATACCATCAGAAAGCAACTGCTGCATTTTGGTTTCAAAAGAAGGCTCTTCTCTCACCTCCAGCTTCTGTATGTGGACAAAAAAAATGAGGCGGGGTGTCCTTTTGTTGTCTTGCTTTAGTTGTGTTAATATCTTAAGCCTACTTCTAAACATAAGCTTATATTAGGATGGGAAACCTACCAGCTCTGGGGGCCATTTTCACTTTCCCTGCAGTATCCAATAAGTCATAAAGATGGGCTTCACTGGTCTCTTTTGGGTTCTAAAAATAGCTCTATCTAACTGATGAAAGGCCCTTCCCCACCCCCTTAGTCTATAAATGGCTTAGTGCAGCCCTCTAGGAACATCTGAGAGTACAGTTGACCACTTTCCTGCCAAAGAGGGTTTTTTTTGGGGGGGGGATGCTATGGGGATTTAGGTGGCACAGGTTGTATTTTTCCCACATCTATTTTCTATATTAGTCAGGTTCACTTAGATGAAATGTTTTGACAAAACCCAAATATTCCTTCTGTTAATAAATAATGGTAATAGGCTAAATTACGGACAAATTACTATCCTTTGCTTCCCCCCCAAACCATCTGCTAAATGAGTTGGATGATATATTTTGCTGTCACCCTGACACTGGTGTCTGAAGTATTTTTTTAATTTTGCTTTCAGACATTCATTTCAATCTTTAAAATATGTAATTAAATTAAACATTGTGATGCAAGTTATGTGTGCTTACAGGGTGCTGTGTTAACACCGACAATGGATCACACAATGTCCATGCAGCCGGCAAGTATGATGGGCCCCCTGACACAACAGATGAATCACCTTTCCTTGGGCACAACAGGAACGGTAAGCTGAAACAGCATACTTCTCAAGTCTGTCTTTCAGATAATTCTTTATTTCTTTCTAGTTTCTCACAGTTTTTATCTAGTTAATCCATTCATTAGCATGCCATAGCTAATACCTTTTCCGGTATCAATTTTTTTTTATTAACAACTTGGGATAAGGTAAGGGGTACAGAAGGTAAAGGGTGATATGAGGGAAGAAAAAGGGAGGGGGAGGAGAACACAAAATGTACTGACATCCCATCTATTCATGTTGCAATATCAACTCAACTTTCCGCTTTTCTTCTATTTGATTGCCCTCCAGGTTTTAACTTACATTTACATCCTAGTTTTAATCTATGTTATTCAAGCACTATCTGGTGACTCAAGCCATTTATAAAAGAAATCCCATCATTCAGTTGCCTTTTGTATTGGGCAGTCTTTCAACACTTCTGATAAGATATCCATTTCTGCCACTTCCCGTATCTTCTCAATAAGTTCCTCTTGTTTCGGTATCACTGATTTCTTCCAATTCCTGGCATAAAGAATTCTGGCTGCGGTGACTATATATATAACTAAGTAGTTCTTTGTCTTGCCTATATTGTCTGGTATAATACTCAGGAGGAACAGTTCTGGGGTTGGTGGAACCTTACAAAGCAATATTTTTTTGTAACAATGTACACCTATCCAAAATTGTTTCGCTACTCTGCAAGTCCACCACATATGGTAAAAACTTCCCTCATGTGCTTCACACTTCCAACAAACATTTGACACATCTGTATAAATCTTTGATAATTTTTCCAGAGTCATATGCCACCTGTAAAACATCTTATACAGTGGTGCCCCGCATAACGGGCGCCCTGTTAAACGATGAATCCGCATAGCGATGTTTTTTGTGATCGTTTTTGTGATCGCATTGCGATGTTTTAAATGGTAAAACATCGCTTTGCGATGATCGGTAAGCTGTTTCGCTTACCGATTTTCGCATAGCGATGTTTTTAGAACAGCTGATCAGCAGTTCCAAAATGGCCACTGGGTAAAAAATGGCCTCCCGCAGTGTTTTCGCGCCCATTCCTCACTTACCGGGCAGCGAAAATGGCAGCCATATGGAGGATTTTCGCATAACAGTGAGTTTTTTGCCCATAGGAATGCATTAAACGTGTTTTAATGCATTCCTATGGACTTTTTTGTTCTGCATAGCGACGAATCCACATAGCGATGATTTTTCCGGAATGGATTATCATCGCTATGCGGGGCACCACTGTATATGTTCTCCTTGAAATTAACCAATTTTGTGAGCATTATATTATTTTGCCATATTTGCAACCATTGATCAATATGTCCTATATTTTGTGCCCACCTAATCATACATTCTTTGACTATCTCGTATTGCATTTTGATTTCTAACAAATAATCATGCATTTTCTTAATTACTTTATCTTTATACTTTATATTTTTATCATGATTGCAGAGTAATGTGAAATAAAGCATAGAATGAGTACATTTAAACATTAATACATGTGACATTGGATATCTCTGTTAATGACTTCTCAAGATTTACCCACACCCCAAAAGCAGCCAACCTCACATAAATCTCCACTATGGTCCTGGAGATAAACTATATTATGTGCTTGATTAAAATCAGCCCCAGAAGCTGTTGTTTGAAGAAATGTACAGGTATCCTTATGACACTTGACTTTTTTTTTTGTAATTGTTCAGTAACTGTCTTCTAAAGTAGAAGAATACAAGATAATATTCCATTCCTTCTATAGAAGATGAAAAAAAGGAACCATATGAGGAAATTTCCACAAAGTAAATGGAGGTCTTGGACCATGTATTTACACCATCTTCGCTTTCATTAAAAATATAATTCCGAGGGATCTCAATTCAATGATGATTTCCATTACATAACTACACAGTCTACCTTGATTCAGAATTTGATGCAGGTATTATGTTAGCGTTCAGACAAGAATTGCTGGCAATGAAAAGCAAATGGGCAAGGTGCCTCTTAGGATATTATAGAGTACAACTTCTACTGTTGCTCTATCTGCATAACGTACACCCTAAATTGCTCTAATCTACAATGTACTTTTCTGTAACTTGCAAAACAAAAATTTATATATTTCTTCAATCAAGTATTTATTGTTTGGTTTCAAAAACTCATAAAATGTGATGAAAGAAATGATCAATACAACAATAGCTGACACCAATAAAAGACAACACTAGAATAATTTTCTGTCCTTGCTTTTCTCCCTCTAAAACATATTAATATTTTTCTTGTTTTGCTTTTGAAAGACCATGAAACAGATTTTTTAATATCCTTACATTTTATAGTGATATAAGTTATAGGAAATTCGAAAGGCAGTTCAAGGTTCTCTTGTTTGGAGAGATATATTTGTAGGAGAATTTAGACATTTAAACGTACGTATCAATTTGTACCATGCTTAAACAATATATATTTCAAGGTTTAGTAGGCATTTCTTACTGAATATCAGTTTCCCTCTTGGACTTTTTTTTCTGTAGGCATTAATGTTTAGCCAGAAAGTGTATATGAGTGAGTGAAGTAACAGCTGGGTGTAATATAGAAGTATTAATATTTTTTGTGAAGGAAGTGTTAAATTTGTTGGTAGCTCTGGTAATCTTTTAAATTTCTTTAAATGATTTGTGTTAGGAAAACATAAGCAATAGGAAACCATTCCCACCTCCACTTCCTTTGTCCTCTCCCTTTCATATGTTTAGTTTACGGACCTGAAGAGCAATAAAATGGTTAATTTATTCAAATAATATTCTGCAGACTAGAAGGTTGAATAACCAGAAAGATTGTTGTTCCTTAAATATTCTAAGTCATACAGATTTTATAGCCAACAATGTATTTGAAGAACCAATAACATAAAGTCAAAGGAGGAAAAGAGGTTAGGAGAACTTTGGTGGGGCAAATGGCAGGTTCATAATAGGGGATTTTAAGCAAAGAATGGACAAACTAAAGATATTGGAATCCACATTTCCATCTCATGGTTGTTGTTTGTTTTTTAAAAATAATTTGGCCCTTAAATATTGTGGCCAGAATCCCATTCAGTTAGATTGCTTTGTGATGAACTATAATGCATGGAGTCTAACGTGTTTTACACTCAGTAGGATGTGCCCAGTATCTCTTTGCACAAGCAGATGTGCCATCTGTTCAAATAGTGATATCTGTTCGTGCAAGTATAAGCAGAAAGATCAAACACTTGTGGAGCATTGCGCTTCACGGATGATGAACAGCATGACTGTCTGTTTCTATTATACAGATAACGCTCTAGAATGACTGAACCTGCGATCCTTACTGCAATAGCAAAAACAGTACAGTACTTTGTAATAATGAGGCTAATAGCAGTATTATTTTGTGCTTTTGAACTAGGTCAAAAACATGGTGCTTTTCTTTTCATGATGCCAATGATTCCTAAAAGCTGTCTGTTTCTTAAATAGCACCACAGGAGAACAGAGAATCATGGGTTACCTCAGTGTTCCCAAATCAACCTGAGCCAAATAGGGGTCAAAGAAGAATGTTACTGGATTTGGGAAATCCTGCATGAATTTCTTTTTATTAGTTTTTATTATTTAATTAACTATACCACTCCCATTAGTGCCACAACACTACTCTGGGCAGCTCACAGTAAAATATACACTCAGTCTAGGAAGTAAAATAAAAAAACAGGAGAAAAAAGTATCTAAAGAACCTTTCGGGGGGGGACACAATTTTTATAAAACCAGCAAAATTTCTTAGATGTCTCCCTTCCAAAAAACAAACAAACAAACAAGCTTTTACAGTGGTAAAAGATGGCCAGTGGCTGAGTTATCACATACTTTGCTTGAAGTGGATCTTAAAGTTGACAGAATCTAATTAGTTGTATTCTTGACCAGTTCTGGGTATTATCGTCCAGCTCCATAAGCTGTTGTTCTTGTCTTGGTGGAAACCTATTTGGATGACATGTCCTCTAAGTTCAACAATAGATTTAGAGGAGAGGATCTAAACCCACCCATGGTTGTTTTACTCAAATGGGCAGCTGCAGGTCTGCAGAGGCTCATCTCGCATTTAGGCGCTACACAGAAATGAGAAGCAGGGGAAACAGAGAGTTGTGCTTGCTTGTAGAGGCTACATGGGAACTCTCCACTATGTCCTGTCCGTCTTGGGTGTCCCTGCACGGCATAGCCCATAGTTTCTCTGAGTTACTCAAGCCCCTTCGCCACGACAAGGCAGCAATCCATGAAGAAGCTGGGCAGCTCACAGTAAAATATACACTCAGTCTAGGAAGTAAAATAAAAAAACAGGAGAAAAAAGTATCTAAAGAACCTTTCGGGGGGGGACACAATTTTTATAAAACCAGCAAAATTTCTTAGATGTCTCCCTTCCAAAAAACAAACAAACAAACAAGCTTTTACAGTGGTAAAAGATGGCCAGTGGCTGAGTTATCACATACTTTGCTTGAAGTGGATCTTAAAGTTGACAGAATCTAATTAGTTGTATTCTTGACCAGTTCTGGGTATTATCGTCCAGCTCCATAAGCTGTTGTTCTTGTCTTGGTGGAAACCTATTTGGATGACATGTCCTCTAAGTTCAACAATAGATTTAGAGGAGAGGATCTAAACCCACCCATGGTTGTTTTACTCAAATGGGCAGCTGCAGGTCTGGAGAGGCTCATCTCGCATTTAGGCACTACACAGAAATGAGAAGCAGGGGAAACAAGAGAGTTGTGCTTGCTTGTAGAGGCTACATGTGAGCCGAACCCTTCTCTTCATTCTTGCCATTGGCCATGTGAACAAAGTGAAGGTGGAGGAGTCAGGACTATGTGCTGACACATCCAGAGACCTTAAGACCTGAACACAGCTTGAATTCTCATCAAATGTTCTGAACATGGTATGATTATTTATAGCAAACACTTCTGCTGCTGTCCATTTAAGGTACAGCTGAAAGAGAATTTACTTGTAAATACCTTTGCTTCAACTCATCTGATTCTTTCACTGTGTAAGGAAAAGTATAGCATAATA